GGGCAGGTCCAGCGCTCAGGGACCCGAGTACCGAGCACCAGTCAGACCCAGAGTCCGAGCCACCCTGAGCAGCTCCAAACCGTGGCTGCAAACGCAGCATCTCCATGCAATAATGCAAACACACTCATTACCATCTCCTCAATATGCATGAAGCAAAGGCGCTCCGCGGGCCGAGCCCCCAACACCGGGCTCTGGCCTCAGCATCCAATAAGACCCATCTCCGGAGATGGACGGGGAGGAGGCGCAGGGGAGGCAGGGCCGCGGGGAAGGTGGGGGAGGAGACATACTGGAGAAGGAGAGGGAAGGAAGAATGGGCATGAAGAGGAAACCCCGAAAATCAGACCTAAGAACCCAATGACGAAAATAGTGGATTCGGATGCAAAAGAAAGGAAAACGAATAAGAAATAGAGCCTTAAAGGCGGGCAGGAAAAGTCAGCCCAGGAAAGGAGAGGGTGTGGGGAAAGAATTGAGAAAATGTGAACAGTGGTTTGAAGAGAAGAAAACGAAGGCGAGAGAAGAGAAAAGAATTAGATCGAATGGTCAAGGAATGGAATAAACAGCAAGTCCGAGGGAGGGATGGCTCAAGGAGGCATCACAGGAGGGGGGACGGGGCAGGTGAGAAAAGGATGGTCCTGGAACAGAAAGAAAAATATAGCCATCCGCGCCGAGGTCTGGTTTTTTCAATCTGGACCCTTCCGAAATCTGCCAGTCCTGGGTCGCTGGGAGCCCCACGGTCAGCGCCAGGGGACGCCCCTTAGGGGATGGCCCGGCCCACTTAGGGGAGCCCCGGCCTGGCGTGGGGCTTACACCCTTGCGCCCAGGCCCATGGCCCCCTCTGTGACCACTCGCGGGCTCCCTGTCCTCTGCCTAGAGCGGAAGTTGGCAAAGTTACTCTGAAGTTTCCCCGTCGCATCTGGAGACCCATGGAGGCGCACAGTCAGCTGTTGGAGAGAGCGGTGGCCTGTCACAGGGCAGCTCTGGGCGACCCCCACCCTGGCCTGTGTCGCCTAGAATGTTCCAGGTCCTGGATTCCTAGCCAGTGCGGAATCCGTCGTGGTGCCAACGCCTGGCCACACGCTCTGGCTTCCGTATGGCTGCTAATAGCGGAGTGAGAGAATGCAAAAGAGAGAGGGAGAGAGAGAGAGAGAGAAAAGGGGGGAAAATATTCTCAGCTCAATTTAAGTCTCATGGAAAGGGCTTACAACTGTAATTAAATCATTAAATTCTTGTCTACGCTTCACAGAGCGGAGAGAAATTAACTTCCCACCAACCTCATTTTCTATTTGAACATGAAATAATGATTTTCTGCCCGTCTAATTACAAAGCCAACATCTGATCAAGCCAGCATCCAGAGGGGATTATCGCATGCACGAGTATTAGACCTCATTACCAGCTTGAGTGCAAAATTATTACATCTTGTAATTGGATGGTGAGATTTATATACAGATCGGCCCGGTTTCTGTAAGATTGTAATTACAAGCTTCGTTGGTTAGCTACTTATCAGAACTTTGCAGGAAAACAAAACAAATGACTGAGGAAAACGAGCATTTCATTAACCTGTAACCCGAGCGCGGGGAGGGGTGTTGGGGGAGAGCGCGGTGGGAGCCGCGCCGCGGCGTCTGCAGGAAGCGGAGGGCTCGCTGGCCGGCACCGCCACCCCGAGACTCCAGGCCTGGGAGGGAAGGACTCAAGACCAACCTTTTGCGCAAAGACCCAGGGCTGGAGCGGCGCCCCGACGGGGACGCAGGCGCACTGTGGGACTGGCCCAGGCGTGGGCTAGAAGGGGCCTTGTGACTCCCGGGCTCGCGTGGAGTGTGTGCCAACTTTCCTCCACCCCACTCAGCAGGCTCATCGGCATTGGACACGCACCCGGTCTCATCTAGTGCGCACAGGTGTGTGCGCCAAACGTGCGCTCTGGACACCCTCCCTGCATATTCCTCGCATCCTGAGCTGCAGTGAAAGGGAGTCTACAGAGAGCCTAAGAAGTACTTTATGCTCTGGGAATATTGGAAGACCTCGGGATGACAGAATTTTCTACGTAAGGCGTGTTTGTGCGCGCACGTTTTTCCCCAATCCACTTTTCCTAACACCTGGGTTGTCTTTCATTTTTTTTTTTCCTCCCCATGCGAGTATGTAAATCTAGGACAGTTACTTCAATTCAAACTCCGTGGGAAAGGGTCGAACTTCTCTGGGAAGCGCGAGTTCAATCTGGAATCTAGTTTCACTGGTTCGGCCCAGTTGGGGACCAGCGCCTCATCGGTGCTGCCTGGACAACAATTTCCGACGTGGGGCGAGTGTTGCCCAGCCCAGTCGGGAGTGTTACTAGCTGGAGACTAGGGCAGCAGAGGGCTGCTTCTTCTCCGAGCTTGGGGGTGCAGGACGAATCTAATTAAGCAAGGTTCTTGGGTCCGCTTCTGGGTTTTGAGATTCGCCCTCTAGGCGAAAAGCGCCAGGAGCCCACCGCGGTTCTGGGAGACCAGCCTCCCCCTACACCCCGCCCTCTCTCCGCTGTCTAGCGCAGCGGGGTCGATAGCTGGTTAAAGCCGAAGAAGCTCTTGGAGGATCGTTATTGTTTGTTTGTTTACCTTCTCGAAGCACTGAATTAAACAGCGGCCATTCCACCAGACCACTTACTGCGTAACTCCAGCTCCCCACCTCAAAATCTCGTTCTGCTCTCTGCCCTGATGATCTGGTGCCACCATTTAATGCACATTCAAGGACTTCAAGGCCTTCGAGGCCCCAGATCTAACACCTAAGAAGCATCCGAGATAATGCTACTACCCTCAATTTTGTAACCCCGAGATTATTTCTGGAAAGGTGAGATCCCTCTCTGGAAGTTTAAAGCGAAACGAAAGCAGGCGCCTAGAAAGCATTCCAGGCCCAGAGTGGCCCCTGAGACCCCCACTTTGTCCGAGGTTCCAGCCAGACAGATGCGAATGGGTAGCAGAGAGGGAGGAAGCAGCTGTGGCCCACTTTGGGAACCTTCTACTCCAGCTCCAACCCCAAAGCTGGGCACCCCCAAATTTTCCTTTGTCTTCTCTCCATCATTTCCAGTTTTCAAGGAGCCCCCACTGGTGTGAAGACTAGTGGAAATGCGGGGAGTGAGGGTGGGGTCAAAACTGAGTGTGTGCCAAGGGCCCAAGAATCGACTGTGTCTTTCCTGTGATCTCTTCTCTCTGGTGGGATTCGGGTTCTATTCCTCGATCAGCCAGCCCGCAGAAACGGGTTTCCGCCCCTGAGCCGAGGCGGACAGCTCCGCCACCGAGTTGTCTCCCCTGTGTCGTCCCCGGGGCGCGCCCGCCACAGGCCGGGCCTCAATGTCCGTTGCAGCCGCGGCCTAAAGCGCTTAACCCTGAGCCAAGCCGATGCAATTCGAGGAATTTCAATACCGCTCTGGGCTGCATGCCCTATTCCATGAAGGTGGGCTCCTAGATACTGGGATTTCAGGTTTGGTTTAGGAAAATCCCTCCACAAAACCAAAAGTCTGGTTTTCTATCCCTACCGGAGGCGGAAAAAGGGAACCCTTGCAGGAAGAAATTGGGTGGGCACGGACAGGAGAGCAGCGAGGGAGAGGGTCTACCGAGGATCCAACAAGAAACTTTCCCAAGTGCTCTCTGAAAGTTTCTGAGGTCACCGCCAGCTCCAGGCACCTCCCCCATCACGGATGGGTCGATGCTCCCCAAGACCCTTGGGGTATCCACCTTTCAGCCCACCAGCTAAGCCCCATTTTAGGGGTTCGCACAGAAGCAGTGTTAAAGTGGGTAACTTAATAGTTTGGGGCTACCTCGTCCCCCTGGGCTTCTGAGGAAGCGACTAGGATGCCTTTCCAGCAGCCCCTTTGCACATTCTTTTGGCTCGCTCCCTATAGTGCCTACATAGGGGTACGCGCTGGACAAAAAGTACAAGCAGAACTGAATCGAGCATCTGCCTTGGCCCAGGGTCCAGCCGGGCCCAGGCCCCAAGTGGTGGCCCGGGGCGAGACAACAAGGGGCGGGAGGCGGGGAGTGGCGAGCTAACCAGGTATTAATCCAGGTCCCCAGGCCTCTTCACTAGCTCTCCGGGTGCAAGCAGGAGGGGCGGGAAGGGACCATAGGGCTGGGCTCCCGCCCCCATCCCGTCCCGCCCCCTGCGCGGTATCCGCGGGGGTGGGAGGCCTCGCCTGTAAGGCGCCTCTGCGATTGGCGACTTGGGGAGGAGACGCAAGAAAAAGTCGAATAAGAGGGCGCAACGTCAGGCAGAGATTTGGGGAAGGGTGAGAGAGGGGGAGGCGGGGACGGTTGCGCGCACCCATACAGACGAGCGCGCGCGCGCGGACACACACACACACACACACACACACACACACACACTCCTCCCATACAACACCCTAAGTGTCCACAACTGCTGGTCGCCTTAACACAGGACACCGAGGCCGGGAAGAGGGTGGGGGAGGTAGCATAGTAGAGACGAAGGGATAAAAGGAGCGAAAGAAGAAAGGGGCGGAAAAGGCAGAGAGAGAAAGGAGGACATAGGAGTTTCCTAGAGTCCTGGAGAGGCTAGGGAGCCCAAAGGGGCGAACGCGATCCTAGAGGAAAGGGGAGCGCAGGGTAGGGAGGGGAGAGGAAGGGCGCGGAGGGGGAGTGAGAACTAGAGGAGGCGAAGGAAGCGAGGCGCGCCACTGCCCAGGGAGCGAGGCGCGGGCAGAGGCAGCTCCGGCTGCCGAGAGGAGGGAGCGCGGAGCTGAGAGGAGGGGCCTATGGCCCAGTAGAAATGTCAATCAGAGTCCGGAGCCCCGGGAATCTCCGCCAATCTGTTCGGACCTGACCTGGCTCCTCGTCGCCGCTGCCACCGCCACCGCCGAACAGATCAATAGGCGAGCGCCGCAGAGTGCAGCGCGGGCGGCAGAGCGGCCCGGGCCCGGCCTAGCCCCCGATGCGCGCCGTAGCGTAGCCCGCGGGCGGCGCTGAGCTGGGCGGCTTCGGGGGCCGGGCCCCCTCTCCGTCGGTGTCCCGCAGGCCACCATGTCCTTCCCCCAGCTCGGATACCAGTACATCCGCCCGCTCTACGCGTCCGAGCGCCCCGGGGCCGCGGCCGGCAGCGGCAGTGCAGGGACTCGAGGCGGCCCTGGCGCCAGGGCTTCGGAGCTGGCTGCTTCGGGGTCCTTGTCCAACGTGCTCTCGTCCGTGTACGGGGCGCCCTACGCCGCGGCCGCAGCGGCCGCCGCAGCCGCCCAAGGCTACGGTGCCTTCCTGCCCTACGCCGCCGATCTGCCTATCTTCCCTCAGCTGGTAAGTGCTCGGGGAGTTGGCCGAGGTTAGGGGGCGGGCTGGGGGTCGGGGGCCGGGCGAAAGGAGAGCGCAGGAGTGGAGTGGAGCTGGGCCCAGGCCGGGAGAGTAGAGGCGGCGACGGCCCGGGCTCAAACGCGCTCCTCCCCGCGTCTCCCCTTCCTTCTCCATGTGCGTACAGGGCGCGCAGTATGAGCTGAAAGACAGTCCCGGGGTGCAGCATCCGGCCGCAGCTGCCGCTTTTCCGCACCCGCATCCTGCCTTCTACCCATATGGCCAGTACCAGTTTGGGGATCCGTCCCGCCCCAAGAACGCCACCCGCGAGAGCACCAGCACGCTCAAGGCCTGGCTGAACGAGCACCGCAAGAACCCCTACCCCACCAAGGGCGAGAAGATCATGCTGGCCATCATCACCAAGATGACCCTCACCCAGGTGTCCACCTGGTTCGCCAACGCGCGTCGGCGCCTCAAGAAAGAAAACAAGATGACGTGGGCGCCCCGCAGCCGCACGGACGAGGAGGGCAACGCGTACGGGAGTGAGCGCGAGGAGGAGGACGAGGAGGAGGACGAGGAGGACGGAAAACGAGAGCTGGAGCTGGAGGAGGAGGAGCTGGTGGGGGAGGAGGAGGACCCAGGGGGCGAGGGCCTGGCGGACGACGACGACGAGGAGATTGATCTGGAGAACTTAGACGGTGCCGCCGACGGGCCTGAACTGGCCCTGCCGGGGGCGGCGCGCAGAACCGGAGACCTTGGCCTGGGGCCCGTTTCGAACTCCAAGAATAGCGACTCGGAGGACAGCTCCGAGGGCTTGGAGGAGCGGCCACTGCCGGTCCTGAGCCTGGCTCCAGTTCCACCGCCAGTGGCCGCGGCCCCGCCGTCTTCTCCCTCATCCCCCGGCGGCCTAGACCCGTGCGCTCCCGCCCCGGCGGCCTCCTCCACCCTGCAGAAGCCCAAGATTTGGTCCCTGGCAGAGACCGCTACCAGCCCGGACAACCCGCGCCGCTCGCCGCCCTGCACGGGCGCTTCTCCGCCCGGGGCTGCCGTCGCGTCCCCGGCCCTGCAGCTCTCCCCGACCGCCGCGGCCGCCGCGGCTCACAGACTTGTCTCGGCGCCGCTGGGCAAGTTCCCCGCTTGGACCAATCGGCCGTTCCCAGGCCCGCCGCCCGGCCCGCGGCCGCACCCGCTCTCCCTGCTCAGCTCGGCCCCTCCGCACCTGCTGGGACTTCCTGGAGCCGCGGGCCACCCGGCCGCCGCCGCTGCCTTTGCTCGGCCCGTGGAGCCCGAGGGCGGAACAGGTGATGGATGAGCGCAGGGTGCGGGGCAGGGGGCAGGCTCCGGGCTTCTGCCAACGATGGGCAGTCCTCGGGCACGCGGGGCGCGCGCTCTCCGCGCCTGCCCCCAGGCCCTGGGCGCCCGGGCGCACGTCTTTAAGGTCCGTTTTCTCCCCTCACTTCCCTTAGATCGTTGTAGTGCCTTGGAAGTAGAGAAGAAGTTACTCAAAACGGCTTTCCAGCCCGTGCCCAGGCGGTAAGAGACCCCGAGGTTGAGGGAAATGGGGGGGGGGAAGGGTAGATGAAGGAAAGGGGAACGAGAACCGACGTGGGCTTCTGCCCCAGGGAAAACGCGGCTGGGACGTGTTTTTAAAAGAGGAAAAAATACACGTTGTGTCATTACCCCCAGCCCGGGGGACATGGCATGTGGCCCACGGGTAACACGTTGAAGGAACTGGGTCTCTGGACGGCCAACCGGCCGCGGGTATCCACTATGACATTTGCCAGCTTGCAATCCCTCCTTCTGAATCCTGATGGCTCATGTCTATGTGACAGTTAAATTGTAACAGTGTTTATACTACTGGACATGATTCTGTATTGCGACACCTCCCCGCCCAGGTTGGCCCCTGTAGGGTCTCCCCATCCCAGGCAGCCTCAGTACCCCAAGCCTCACGCCTTCTCCTCTCGCTCTCTGTCTCTTCCAGGCCCCAGAACCACCTGGATGCTGCTCTGGTCTTATCGGCCCTTTCCTCATCCTAGTTCTTAAAAAATTTCTAATTGTTGTAATAATTGTAAAAAAAAAAAAAAGCCAAAACCACACCCCCAAAACAAAAATCATTATGTATAGTGACGACTTGTGAGCATGTCCGTGTATGAACACCGAAAACAGAAGATTAAACGAGAAAACAAGTGCCCCCAGCCCTCCCAAGTCGCTTCTGTACCCCAGGATTAAGTGGGTTGTGAGGTTTGTTTGTTCACTTGATTTGGGGGTGTATGGTTGAGTTTCAGTGAAAATAAGCGCGTTTGACTTTTTTCTTTTTTGTATATACAGGGGGGAAATGTACATTATATGTGAACCAAATTGTACAAGAAAGTATCTATTTTTGGCTAAATAAATGAGCTGTTGCCACTTTGCCTATACCCTCCTGTCTACCCTCAGACGGGTCTGTTTGGTGGGGGTTTTCCTTTGGTTTTTCCTTTTTTTATATACTCCCCTCCCCCACCTGGCCTCAGCGTTTGAAGCATCTTGGGGATCAGAGGAAAAGGAGGCGAGAAGAGTGAGAAGAATAGAGGACGCAGGAATGACAGAGGTGGCACTGAAGCGGAAGGCCTGGGGACGCTGCAAGAGAGGTCAATGCAGAAGCACGTCATGTTCCCGAGAATAGGGCAGAGGAGACAGGTGGGAAACCGGGGCCATATTTCCAGAGCAGCTGGGAAATTGGGCCCAACCCGCTGGACCAGACCAGACAGTAATGCTGGGGCTCGAGGGCAAAGGGCCTCCTTGAGGGTCTGGACGCCCCAGGAATTAGGATGGGGTTTTCTCACCACTGTGTGCCCTTCCTTAAGAACAGTGCTCGCCCAGCTCCAAAACCACTTTGGGTGCAGTCACATTGCAACACCAGACCCCTCCTTCCAGAAAAGCTGCTTCGAAGGGCTGGAGAGGGGTGGGGGCTGTGGAGGAGAGGGAACCTAGGCGCGCACTGCTTTCCCTTAGTGTCTGTGGGACTGTGCCCCGCTGAAGTGAAGCATCTGTGCGCCTTGGCACCTCAGTGAGTCTCGTCGCGGGTGCACGGAGCTCGTGCGGTGCAGCCAGGACGCAGGCTGGAGTGGGGCGCGGACCTGGGGTGTCCGGGCGTGGAGGGAGCCGGAAATTTGGAGCTGGAGCTCCCTCTACAGGACAGAAGCGCCACGCCGCGCCTGGGCGGCCTCTCCAGCCAGGCCGGACCTTACACCTCTTCCTCTTCCAGCCCTCCAGCTATTGCCCAACTTGGACTTGAAGTAGCATGCACGAGAAAAGTGACGCCTCGGGTTTCAGGGGCGGGCACCCTTCCCACACGCAGCCAGAAGCAGGGGGTTTGGCCCTTACAGTGGGGGGTTGACAATCTCAAGGTTCCCCAGGGAGGTTGGGAAACTGCTCTCGCATGTAATAGGGCGCTGGAGTGTACTCTGAGACTAGGAAGAAAGGACTGGTCGTTGCTGCCGTCATTGCCTGCGCTTCACCCCTGCGGACGAGGATGAGGCACCCAGGGGTGAGCGCCAGCCCACCACCTCAGTCTGTGGCCCCCTCAGCGGGCGCATAGATAACTTCAGCAGCCAAAGCAGAGGCTACCCAACTAAGTGCCCAGGCCAGGGCTCACCTCTGTCTCCTCTGGTCCCATCTTTGTTTCCGGTGTCTCTAGAATTCCGGCTCCTTCTTTGAGGGATGCGGGCACGAGCCAAGATTCTGTGCGCTCTGGCCCTGCGATTAGCACCCTCAGAAGACATGGAGCGGGCTTGGCCCTGCAGTGAGAGGGCTTCACCTGCTGAAATCTTGAACTTCTGGAGCCCAGGAACAGAGACAGATGGGAGGCCTCTGGGTCAGATGGACAACACTTCTCTGGACAAGGGTAACCTCCTGCTGCCTTTAATCAGAGTCTCTCAACCTGATGGATACAGACCCAGGGCCTGTGAAGCCCAAGGCGTTAGAACTAACATTTGAGTTCTACTTACCTGCAAATTAGAAATAATGACACTTAATTTGCAAGGATGAGAAAAAAAGCCATGCCCAGTGCTGACACACTGTAGTGGGTAGTGGGCTTAAACAGCCGCCACCCAGGGCCTCACTCTCAGGAGCAAACAGACCCACCCAACACATCCACAAGTGGGGTGTCTGCCTTTAGGTGTACCCCAACATCTCTGCGACTCCAGCTGCAGCCAGCATGGCAAAGACAGGAAGACTTTGAAGTTGGAGGTGACGGCAGCTGGGCAGCTGGCCACATTGATGTCTACAACGGAGGAGACAGTGGATCTGCACAGAGGGAACTGAGTGTGCAGGTGCCAGAGGTCGGCCTGCTCAGTCAGCATTTCAGAGCTACCCAGGGCTACCCAGAGAAGATAGTCCTGGGATAATATACCCATCCTGTGAGGAGAAGGAGGGATGTGCAGAAGGAAGGAGAGATAGAGTAGAGCCGAATGGCTCAGATGTGTGTGACTTCTGTCCCAGAAAGCACCAGACTATCCTGGCAGAGTCCCAAGATGATCCCAACGAGATCATTAAAACACTGCTGCTTCATTTCTTCATCCTTTTCCCTTGTCACCTTTTCAGTTATGGAACTCAGAAAAGTCACCTGTCCTTTAGAGGTGGGTCCTAAACTTTATAAGGGAAACCAGTAGAGAGAGAAGCAGAGTGAATTGGGGATCTCATCCTGGTACCGATTAAACTTCAATTTGGAAAAAAAAAAACAATCTGTCAGTCAGTCTGAGTAGGGGATCTGCCATCCTGAGGAGGCATGTAAAATGCACCAAGGGTGTGTGTGTGTGTGTGTGTGTGTGTGTGTGTGTGTGTGTGTGTTTAATCAATTAGGTCGGAGGAAAGAGTGGCACTGCTCCCCTCATTATCTGCTTGGCGGTGCAGGAGGAGGAATGTTTCACAGGGCCTGGGAGACAAGAGGAGAATAAAATTATCTCCCTAAGTGATTGGCCCCCTCTGGGACCCACACATTAATGATTTCCAATTGAATTCATTTCAGGGGGTACAGGGAGGAGGCAGCAGGGTCCAGCCAGAGGGCATCAAGGGAAGGCTGGAAGACAGAGAAGGGGAGGAGGGGTGCTCCCCCACCCAAGGAGCAGCTGGGAGAGGAAAGGGTTCCATGCTGGTCAGCCAGGACCAGAGCACCCACCACATGGGGTCCACTGCAAGGTTCAAAAAAGGATCTGAGTGCTTGGGAGGGAATTGGCTGCCATGTCTTACCAATGGTTTGTTGGGTGTCTCCGACAAGAACTTAGTTACTGGTATGTTTCTGTAAATGTCTGCATCTTAAAGCCTTGCCTGCGTGCACCCTTGACTCCCATCCCATTGTCGCTAGGCAGCGTCATGACAGATGGAGAAAACATTCAATTGTCAATGATTTCATTTTACTTGGATCCATAATCAACATTCCCACCAAGAGAAACAAACAGTTGCAGGTGGGTACGACTTGTTTCTAGGGTGAGGGCCAGTTCTAGCCTGGGGGAGCCTCCTCACATAATCCCAGTATTTACGTTAATCCTCTGCTGAATGGAACAGAGAGGATTGGAATCTATGTGAGAGAACCCAGACCCTCTTAGACGTTCAGGGTTGTCTTGGATTAAGCAATAATAAGGGAAACCGAGATCCCGAGATGCTTATGGAGGCACGAGAACCTCATTTTTTGAGTACTGCTTAATTGAATCTTAGTTGGCAGCCACTGTCTTATGATTCAGGCAAACATCTTGATCATCTTTTGAGAGACCGAGAGGGCCTAGAGGTTACGGGCTTAGCTAGCTGCCAGGCTTGAGCCCATCAGAAGCTCAGCAGAGAAAAGCCCAATGAAGATTTCCTCCTCGGAATCCCTGTGGGTTGGCTGTGTGTGTGTGTGTGTGTGTGTGAGAGAGAGAGAGAGAGAGAGAGACAGAGCGCTTATGTGAGTCCTTAGCTTAGACTTGATAGCCATGGGTTGGCTTTGGGGTTTTATTGTGGCCCAACCTTGGCTTTAATGCAGCTGCTGGTCCCTCTGAGTGGAAGCTCCAGCTCCTACGAAGGTCATCTTGATTGAACCAGCCCAGAGGCACCTCGTCCTGGGGTCAGGGAAGAGCTAAGGGGCAAAGGAGGAAGGACTCAGTGTAAGGGGCCTGAGAGAGATTGTATAAATAGTACAGTGATTGTCTATGGAGTGGTTTTGCCCTCTAGGGACAATGTCTGGAGACATTTTTATAGTCATATTTGAGAGTGTTAAACTCTAGTGGCCTAGCGGATAAGAAGCTGCGCTGCAATCTCAAAGGTGTGTGATTTGAGGCCAGTTTGAGGCATGGTTCCTGAGAGGAAGCTGGGCAGTCTCCTCCGGTGCGATTAACTGCCTCCGAAAACCTGCTGGTGGGTCAGCTATGGGTCGGCTTTGGCTCGATGGTACATGACAACAGTTCTTATTTGAGGGTCTAGTGATTAAGGAGCTGTACCGTCAACCCAAAGGCATGTGGTTCTCAACCACCAGCTGCTCCAGGGGAGAAAGATGAGCAGTCTCTTCCCACTTGATTCGTGTCTCTGAAAACTCACTGGAGGGTCAGCTGTGGGTTGGTTGCGTGCGGATCAATGGTTCATGAGAACAACAACTGACATTTGGTGGATAGGGGCTGAGGGTGCTAATGAATGCCAGGACAGTCCCCACAACCAATAATTATCAAGCCTAAAGTGTCAATAATACTACAGTTAGGAAACATCTTCTTGTTGTTACTTGGTGCCATTAAGTAGAATACGATCCATAACAACCCTGTGAACAACAGTTCTGAACCCTGTCCTATCCTGCGCCATCCTCACACTTCCTGACACACAACAGCCCACTGCAGCAGGGGTTGGGTAATTAGAGCCCAAACCCTCTTCCATCAGCTTGGCTGAGAGAAGCATTGCAAAGGGGTGCTAATAGGGATGGGTTTTGTTCTTAAAATCCTTTTACCTGGGGTGGGGGGGGCAGTAGCGATGAGAGCTCCAGCAGGAAGCTTCTCCAGCTTGGGGATAGAAGGAAACTCTGGTAGTGGAATCTCCTCGG